GGCAGCTAAAGTAACCGAATAACTTTCTTGGTATAGCAGCTAAAGCAACCCACTTTTATCTTATCTTCCAATTCAAAATTCGTATGCCTTTCTCTTTTGCTTTACAAAAGGAGGCGGTCAATTAGAGCAACCTACTAATGCAGTTGGTGGGTTCTTCAGTTCTGGTAAAAAGTCTTCTAAGGTTCAGGTTAGTCCAAAATATTTACTCCTACTTCAATAACACTTGGAAATTTTATCAAATTATCTATATGGGATGAATAATTTAATACTTTATTATCTTTTGACCTATTAAAAAAGGAAAAAGTTTATGTAGAGCTGAGGCTCTAGACAAAATTAGAGCCCACCTCAAAAATTTCACTAGAAGAGGTTGTTTTGATGCCTAAATATCTTCAAATTGATCCGCTTGACACCAAGATACATGGACATAAGAAAAAATAGATTTCAAGTTTTGAAAATAATGCATCTTGTAATGCATTTTTGGACTATCAACTTTCAAGATCTTGTCGATCTACACTATTTTTGAAGCTTTAAATTTTATATTTAAAGATGAGAATATATTTTAATGGTATCACAAAGATTTCCAACATTGAAACCATATTTCTCGACACTATTTGAAGGTTGCTTTACTTTGATTGTTTAGAGCCCCGGCTCTACACAAACCACGCACATTAAAAAATATATGGTCTTGAGTTGAAATAGTTGTAAATAGGAAAGTCCCAAATAATTTATCCCTAATAGGTTTTTTGATAAATTTCCCATAATGATTATTACCATCGTTAGCCTCAGTCCGAGCCCTTCCCCGGCTTACTTCGGATCATACCCCAATCTTGCTCTCTTGCAAGTTTGTGACTTCTGGTCGCCTTTCTGCATGGAGATAGGGTGGTTGGAAGAAAGAGAAGTGGCTGACATTATTAGAAGTACATGAAAAAATTTTATTTCTGTGGGTCTTTAGACTTTCAGTTGCATAAGAAATTGATTAGCATTAAACACAAGCTTATTGCCTGAAAAAAGGAAAATAAATTTCAAGTTCAATTGAAGATTGACGAAGCTCTTTTTAATATCGAATTTTTGAATTTTAACATCTAACATGGTAGATTCCTTTTCGAGAGGTGAAGATTGAAAGAGATAACAATATCAAGTCTATCAGTGAGCTACGTAGGATTGAGGAGATATACTGGAGACAAGGATCTAGAACCAAATGGCTTAAGGAGGGAGATAAGAACACAACTTTTTCATGTTATTACTAGTTCTAGAAGGAGGCAAAATGATATTTCGGAATTATCTATACAAGGAGTTGATTAGGATGGCAGAGTGGTGACCAGGAATGCGGTGGTATCTCACTTCAAGAAAGCCTTTACTTCTGAAGTGAGATTTTCACCTAAACTTGATCGTGACCTAAACTTGATCGTGTTCCATTTTCTTCTCTCTTATGCTTTGGAGTTAGAGAGGGAAGCGCCAATGAAGAAACTTAAAGGAGCAATCTTTGATTTGCCAAAGGATAAAGCCTTGGGGCCTGCTGGGTTTCCCCTAATTTTCTTCTAAAAGTTTTGGAATTTGATCAAAGGGGAGCTCCAAGAGATGGTCAAAGTTATTTTCTCCATGGCGAGCTGTTCAAAGGTGTAAATTATGCCTATATTGCTCTTATTCCTAAAAGGAGCACTATCGCAGAATTGTCAAACATTAGACTGATAAATTTGCTAACGAGCCTTTATAAAATCGTGGCTAAGGTATTGGCAGAGAGTGAAAGTGGTGCTACCTCGTATTATCTCTAGGCCACAATATGCCTTCATTCAATTTAGACTTATTATTGATAGTGCTTTCATGGCCCAAGAGTGCATCCACTCTAGATGTTTAAGTTAGATAGTTGTTATCAAGATAGAGTAGAATGGAGTGTTCTTATAAAGATCATGAGAATGATGAGTTTTGGGGAGAGGTGGTGAAATTAGATCTTTGGTTGTTTGTTTTCAACGCACTTCTCGGTTCTTTTCAAGGGTAGCCCTAAACCTAGGAAAGACGTTGACGATTGGTATAGATTGTAATAAGGAAGTTCTCTTGGATTTAGTAGTGGTTCTTAATTGTAGAACAAAATATTTCCCAGCTACTTATTTAGGTCTGCATATATCGGACAAGAGTCTTCCCATCTCGGTTTGGGATAGCGTTTTACAATGAGTTCAAGTTAAGTTGGACTTCGAGAAATTCAACCATCTATCCTCAGGAGGACGAGTCGCCCTTCTACAAGCTTATCTATCAAACCTTCAAATCTACCAAATGTCGATCTGTCAAATTCCTTATGCTGTAACAAATAAATTAGAAAAGATGTGTGATTTCCTTTGGAGCTCTTTTGGAGAGGCAAGGAAGTTTCACTTGCTAAAGTAGAACAATGTTTGTATGCCTAAAAGTGAATGACGTCTAGGGTTAAGAAAGTTAAAGTTGGTCAATCAAGCTCTCTTATGCAAATGGTGGTGGCCCAGTTTTACCTTAAGTGACCATCTTTGGTTTAAAATCTTGGAGGTGAAGTATGGTTTGGATCGACAGGGGATGTGGATTGGTAATGGCAGGGTTCTAGTGCTTCTAGTGTTTAGAAAGCTATTAATTATTGTAGGCCATTTATCTCAAGAAACGTTAAATGGGTTGTTGGCAATGGAGAACACATATCGTTTTGGCATCATAATTGGTTGGATGAGCATCCTTTAAGGTTGAGCTCTCCAAAAGTATTCCAGAGGGTAACTGATCAACATGCGAAAGTGAAGGGTGTGGAGATAATGTTGTATGGAATGTTACCCTTCAATATAACAGAATTAGTGGAGTCATTTTTGACCAATTCCGGGCTCGATAAGGTCTACATCTCGTCAAATATGGTAGATGATATTGTCTGGGATTCAAAGGCTAACTGATTTTTTACAGTAAAGTCATGCTACCGACTTTTATTCCATGACAGATGGCGGTGGTCACTTTCTCAAGTGGCAAAACTTTGGAAGTGGCCCATCCCACACAAAATCCAATTATTCTTATGGTTAGCCTCTCAAAATAAAATGCTTACTATCGACAATTTGGTTAAGAGGGTTAAGTTCTGGCCTAATGTTGGTTTGTTATGTAAGAAAGATGCAGAATCTATCTCGCACTTGCTCCTTCATTGTCCTTTTGCTTCTTGGATTTGAGGCCAAATGTTCTCTCTTCTCGATTTTCATTTGACTATGCCTCAAGATATTTTAGGGGTGATCTCTGGATTGTCTATGCACTTACCTAAAGTAGGGCAAAGTGATCTGGAAGATTTTGAGAGGTGGCGTTTTATGGGAAATTTGGAAAGAGAGGAACAGTCATACATTTAAGGGGGTTAGCCTTCCGTGTCGCGTGAGAGAGTTATGGAGAAATTCATGCATTCCTTGTGGTCGGTTCTAGCGGTAACAAAAGAAGGGAGAGGGATCTTTGAGATTGATGTTAGGTTGAACCTTCCTAATCTTATGGCTATGGGTGTGGTGAAAAGTCGACGTATGAGCTTTTGGTCTCCTCCTATGACAGGTACCTTCAAGCTAAACTTTGATGTTAGCTCTCTAAGGAATTCGAAGCCTGCAGGCATTGGGGGAGTTGGAAGGGACTGGAGTGGGAATGTCCTGTTTAGCTTCACTGGACCTATTAGGATTAGCCTCAGCAAATCAAGCTGAGATGCTCGCCCTCTTGTAGGGCTTGAAATTCGTCAAGAGTAGAAATTTAATTGGATGCTGTATGGTCTAGGGGATTCCCTAAATGCTATCCAATGGTGCAAGGAGAGGCAAATTCCCTGGAAATCAACACCCATCTGGTCGTAAATTGCGGATCTTGTTGTGTCTTTAAGGAGGCTAATACCTCAGTAGATTCTTTGGCTAAGCATGGCTCCACGTTCGGCTCTTATATATGATGTAATATCCTTTGGGTAAGTTTTATTAATAAAATTTCATTGGTCAAAAAAATAATAATTCAAGGCTTCTGTTTGTTAGAGAGATAGGGAGTTCACTATTCTCAAGAGGTTGGCCACAATATGAATGGACTTACAGATGTCGTAAGTGGCAGATAAATATCAGAGAAATGCATAACGGATGGAGTAATTGTTTACAATACGGGTGAGGTTTGTAACTTCGGGGCACCTTATACTATACAAGTAAGACGCATCTCAAATTTTGTATGAACGTACAGTTCAGGTCTCAAAAAACCTTATAATAGCTTGAAAACCCATGTTCAATCCTAACCATGAAATTTCATATTTCAAAAGAAGAGAAGATTGAACAAATCTATAAACACTTGAAAATCTTAAAAACATACCGAAAGAAATACCTTATTATAAGATTTTTTATTTTTCTAATTTTAAAATTATTCTAATTTCAGAATAGAAGTAATATATAAATATAAAATGACAGAATATCAACATAAATTAGAATAGAAATTTATAAATAAAATAAAAAAGCAAAAGATCGAATAAAAGATAAAGGAAATCTATTGAAAAAAACAAGGGATTCAAATACAAATAAAATAATAAATAAATAGAATTAATTATGTAAAATGTAAAAAAGAAAAAAAAACGAAAATGATTGTTTTCAATATTTGAAATTCTTTTTTTCTTTATATACATACCCCTAAAGGTACATACCCCTAAAGGTCGAGATAGTCAATTGCAAGATTTTCCAACTTAAGAACAATATTTTCCACCAGATTTCTAACGAGCACCTTCCTTTTATATTTTAAGGTCGCAACCTCAAACATTTTCCTTTGCAAGGTCTGAAGTTACTTGAGAAAAGAGCATATAATCAGGGAGAAAACTTCAGAAAAGCATAAAAAATAATTAACAGAGCACATTCCAGTCCTTTCGCAAAGTAGTGGGATAAGATGTTTGCATCAAGACTACACCATTCAAATCAAAATTTCAAATTATTCAGGCAACCTATAACTGTGAATGTGGAGACAACAAAAATAAAAAGCATTTGGCATATAAGCAACCACAATAACACAAAGAAAGAAGGAGAAGAAAAGGCAAAAGAATCGAAAACAAACCATTCATAAAGGATGACATGAATAACAAGTTGCTTCATTTATACGTTAATTTTCTGCAACCCAAAAGTCCATGGTAGAAGGGAGTCTTGGCAAATAAAGGGAGCCTGTGTGTATTCCATTTGTGTATGTTTAGGACATAAAGACCTGAACACTCGCAGTCTTCAGGGTCCGGCAAACTGGACAAACGTCAAGAAAACCCTCACAATCCTTACACAGGCACAAATGCCTACATGGCAAGAGTAACATGGAAACCTCCTTATTTTTGCAAACCCTGCATGTTCTCTGACCCTTCAATTCTCTGTTTTCTAAGAGGGTTCTGGTTTGAATACCTAGTGGAGCATTTTGGTCACAAGATGACGCCAAGTCGTCCACTTCACTATCTCCGCAGCCTTCTCTGCACTGGTCTTTACCTTGAGCAATGGCTTGTTCGAGGTTATTCTTCAAGGTATTTACCATTGCTTCGTTATACCTTGCTCTGCTGTGCCAGTGTTGGGCCTCGGAAGCTACATGTCTTATCCTTTCTACCAATTCCTTGTTCTTTCGGTTCATATTCTCGATTTCGAGTTCTTTTTCTTGTAACTTTCTGCCGATTCCTTTTTCAACAGCACTAAGTAAAGATGACAAGTGTTTTTGCTTCAATTCTCTTACACCTTTGGTAATGTTTTCCTCCTGATCAGACGAGAACCGCAAAAGTAATTTATTTGAAGGCATTTGAAAAAGCATAACCAGAATACCACAAGAACATAAGTAACATCCCATTGCATAAAGTACCATGACAATAGAAGAAATAGGAGTGCTCCGAAAGCTCTCTTTCATTCATATAATGACTTCTAACTTCCAGATGCAAGTTCCAAATTTTTTTTCATAAAGGGGGGTTTAAAAGAAAAAAAAAATGGCAACTATCTGAAAGGGTTCTTTGCGAGTACTCACTTGAATTCGAATGTAATGCTCAAATTCATCTCTCTGCCTATTGATCTCAGCCTTTAAACTATCACCAATAGATGCAATAAGAGGGAGAGCATGCATGCTGCCACTTGCAGAAGAAACTGAAGAATTTGGTTCCTCATCATCATAAGATAATCTCAAACCAGTTGATACGGCATTAGAATTGGGATTGTTTGATGAGTGATCTGCCTGATCTTGATGGTAATTATTCAAGGACATGTGAAGCTTCTGTGGCCTCGTAATAGCATCTGACTCCCTCCCCCTTTTGTTTGGCCGATTATATGCTGATGCATGATCATTCCCACCATAATTAACTTGATCCACATTGCAGTCGACTGGAACTGTAACAAGCACAAGTGAACAGATACAATCAAGGAGCCAGAATAAATCATCCAAGAAACAGAAATGATAAACAACGTACAGAAAACTACAAGATACGATCATTGACTTCTTTCCAAACCTTTTCTCAGCCTACTCAGGTCCTAGACCAAGAATGACAGACCTCTCCTTTCTTTCCATCCCAAAGATAAGGCCTTGTGGCTGGGACGCCTCTTCTCAGAAGAGGAGATCCTCAGGACCATCAAGGAACTCGGACAGGCCAAAGCCCCAGGTCTGGATGGCCATCCAGTGGCTCTCTTTCTCAATCACTTCTGGAATTCAATGGGCCCAGATATCCCTGCTTTCTTCCAAAAATTCTACACAAAGGAACAATCCAAAAGGCCATGAATGCAAGTATTTTGCTGGACTGGAAATCCAAGTATTTAGCTGGATTGCGATATCCCAGAGGGTCCTCCATAGGCCACCTACAAGCGGGGCATTACCATCCAAAATAGGTGTGCCATGTGTAAAGCAGCAGACGAGACCAACGAGCACCTTTTACTTCATTTGAGACATGGCTCAGAGTCTGTAGGTTTATTCCTTTGTCGTGCATTCAGTATTTCACTTGCAGCCACCTTGTGGGTAATTTGGATAGAAACTCTCGAATAACCAAGGGAGATAACTAACAATACTCTAAAGGACCAAATTAAAGCCATGGTTCTCTTTTGGGCAAAGAACTCAAACCTGCTCAAACATCAAGCTGCTACAGATTTCCTCCAAAAGTGACTAGCCATGTTACACAAGGCCCCACACAAATTCCTCGCTCTTCACTGTGACGCCCACCCGAACAAGGCCATATACGGCTCAATTTTTATGTTTGCTCTCTCCACAACACGGGTTCCCTAAGCACTGGGGGAATTTTCAATTATCAGGATGGAAACACCCTATTCTCTTACTCGAGGTTTATTGGTCGTGTTTATTCCTCACAGTGGAGGCCCTCGGTCTCCTTGGAGGCCCTCGGTCTCCTTGGAGGCCCTCGGTCTCCTTGAGGATATCAAAAGTTTTCTTCCTGAATGGAGCCCCTTCAGGGAAATTCCAAGAATGTTATTTTTTGGGCATCAAGAGCTTCCCCATACCTGTTGAGGCTAGAAGACATTCTTTACCACATTTTCAATTTATGCAGGCCTATGCACATCTCCTTTCAGCATATGTGGCACAAAGCAAACTATGAAGATTAGGGGACGGATTTGATTTGTGCCATCCATGACCAAAGAAATTCACCGGAAGTTGGTCATATATAAAGGGGCCATCTTTGAACTGGAAAAAAGTTGACAGGAACCTCACCTGCAGACTTCATTCCATTAACATGAAAACTTTTTGGCACAGGAAATGAGGCCCATCTCTACTACATATTCCAGGACACTTTAAACTAATTCCAAAGTGACCATACGAATCAACCAAAGCCATAAGCTTAATCGAACTACTCCCTAGGTCACTTATCATAGGATCTCAAGCAATTAGGAACCACAAACAGTCAACCCACTTGTTGGTTTTCACATCATCTAACCAAATAAGTATAGGGCAACAACCTAAAGAATATCTTCAGAAAGAAAAGAGAATCTATCATAGCTGATCAAGCTATGGTGCATAGGCTGGAAGCAAGGAAAATGACCGACTAGAATATCTTCAGAAAGAAAAGAGAATCTATCAAAACTGATCAAGCTATAGTGCATACGCTGGAAGCAAGGAAAATGACTGACTAATGAAGTTCACCCACAATGTGTGGATATTAGTCCCACAAGGTCATTATGGATATTGTCCAGTCTTACAGTCACATAAATAACCATTGCATGTCAAAACCTTAGTCCTAGCTCCTGGTTGAAGTCATCACTAGATTGCTGCAGATATTTTATAGGTTAGACACAAAAATTCACACGAATTGTCTTGCCTCTAATTGAAATCCCACATTCATCCACAACGCGGTCCTTACTCGGGGATATTTTGATGAGGATGTAAGCTCTATTCTAGTTGAGCGTGTAGAACACTATAATAAATATTCAACTTGCAAAACGTGAAATGACTTCAATTTTCAAATCGCAAATTGTGAAATGATTTCATAAATCAATTTGCCATATACGTAACAAGTCGCATACCATAAAACATGAACATTCACCTTGGACAGGACATTATAGTCTAGAAATCTAAGCAGCTGAGAGATGGTCATGTGGTGCTTGGAAAACTCCATACATCATGGAAAATACAAGGGTTTCTGGGATAGAAGGTGCTGGTGAATCACAATATCTCAAAAGCACATGGACTCATTCTTCAAGTAAAGAACTTACAGAATTGTCAAGATTCAGAGTCTGTCATAGCTTTCTCTCTTTGAGAGCTTATCTGGCAACAAAATGAAGAGGACCTCCTCCATGAAACAAACTGAAGAAGTTAGCATAGGATAGATCCAATTTCTTATGCTGCTTAAATCATTTCCAAGGTCAGTTATGGGTTAGATGGATTTCCCTCGCATTAATTTAGAGTTCCAAGAGGGGAATGTATTTGGAAGTATTATTTGAATTTTTTGTTTTCTGGGACCAAGATGTTGAGGGATTCCTATATTTCTCACCCATATCCCAAAGTAATAGAGTAAACATACCTCGGAAGTTCAAATGTCTTATCCTAATGTGTTCAACCAACTAAAGTTTTATCTATACATCTTAAAGAGGTCTTACCTACCCCTGCTCAAGGATTTTATTATTTTCTCTTTATGTCATCTCAAGAAGTTCAGGAGGTTTTGCAACAGGATACACTTCTCCTAAAAGCCACCGGATTCCAAGGCCAAAATAAAGGAGGGATACTCTAATTGGATCAAATATGAAAACATCCAACAGTCACATTTATCAAGTGATATCCACATTCTAATCCATTGAATTGTGGGCATTTAGAGCAAAGGAGCTCTCATATTTGGTAATGCTTTATAATGTTACTTTTTCTTTCTTAAACAAATTCAGATTATTTTATTGGAGTTCTTCAAAGAAACCTTTTTGAAAGACCCATTGGCTTATGGGCAGTCCCCATCTTCCAAGATGAGTTGCCTCCTAGTGCTTCCATGAGAATGTTAGTTCCCCTGGCTAATGGAAATGAGGGAAATGTCTGAACGCAAATTGACAACTTAGAAGTTCTAGCTAATTTGGAAAAATCAGCACTCATGGTTACAAACAAGGAGGGACAAGTGCCCCTCTTGTGGCTTGGCCTTGAGGGTGCAAGCCTTCTCAAACTACATCTTTATGTTAGCAAGCCAGTACCCTAGGTAGGATAGAAAGATAAAGTTCAAGTTGCAGCATTAGTGGATTAGATCGAGTTTTTTTTATGGAACCTATGCTTCCCTCGTTATTGGGTGTGAGAGTAAAGAAATGAAAATGGATTCAGTCAAGAGCTGCAGTGCAATTTTGCAGATTGGATAGAGGGCTGTAGGCCTTCTACAGGGAGAAGAAGTCACATCAAGTTATTCGTGATAAGGGTCTTAATCACCATGAACTCCCAGGAAATGTTACTAGTGGAGGAGTAGGACAGCGAAAATAAGATGACACACTTCAAATCACCACTAGAGCATCATATTGTGTCAGATCAGGAAAGGCAAATCTTGAACTTAAGCTTAACTGTGGTTTTCCTTTTATATATTCTTTTAGACACGTACAAACATCCTTTTGGCCAATCAATAAAGGCAAATCTTGACTGAATCAACAATCGGGAAGCCACCGGATAGAATTCTAATATATTATAATAATAAATAGGAGGTTCCTGGGAGGAAAATAGGAACAGGGCATGGTACTTGGAGGGATTGAGAACCATGAGTTTAGCGGCAACCACCAATGCAAAGTATTTTTATCTAAGAACCATGGTACCCCACCGTCACCATGTGATCAACAAATGTCCAAACCTGATGAATATTTCGGATTGCAAGGCATATCTAAGAACCATGGTACATCCTACAGTCACCATGTGATCAACAGATGTCCAAACCTAATGAATATTTCGGATTGCAAGGCATATTTGGTGCAATCAGATATCCTCTTTCTTATAGGAAGCAGGCCTGCTTTAGTTTCAGTCAGTGATTGAAAAATCGGCGAGTTGCATCGGAATCGCCTGAATCGACACGAGAATCAATCCCCCCCGTGTCGATTCCACTAAAACCCACTGAAACGTCTGGTTCTAGAAAAGAACCGGCGATTTTACGTAACAAATCGCCGCATGATGTCATGAATCTCCCGGTTCTTCGCTTCATGACGTCATGAAGCACCGATTCTTTGGCAGTGGGCATTCTTGTAACTTTCGGAGTAAAATAAGGTTAAGGAACCTGAGGTTCACACACCTCCCATGTGTCCCCAGTTGCTTCACACACGTTACCAACGTTGAGTACCAAGAAGTATTTATTCACTTGGTTCTTCTTCCACCTTTTCGATGTGGGATATTGTGAAAAGGCAATAGCTTGAAACATTTATACATTATAAAATTTTCTTTACGCTATTGATATCACCATATTGCATGTGGTATACCGGTTATCACATCCCTGCATTGCGTGGAAGTCGTTGGTTCGAATCCTCACATGGACGGGTGGCTATTTTGAATTTTGGAAACGTCGTTTTTTTCCTCTTTTGTCAAATTTTTTTTCTTAAAAAAAATATAAAAGGTTTCTTGTAAAAAAAAAAAAAAGAAAGGCTCTTATCAATTTCGCTTTTTGTCAGATTTTTTTTTCTTTATCAAAAAATAAAAAGTTTCTTGTAAAAAAAAAAATGAAAGGTTCTTATCAACTTTTTTTCTTGTCAAATTTCTTTTTCTTGTCAAAAAAATAAAAAGTACTTGTCAAAAAAAAAAAAAAAAAATTTTTCAAAAAAAAAAAAAAAAGTAATACGACAAGCATTTTTTGTCAAAAAAAAAAAAGGTTCTTGCTAAAAAAAAAAATTGTAATGCGACAAACATTTATTGTAAAAAAAATAAAAGGTTTTTGTCAAAAAATACTAAAAAGTTCTTGCTAAAAATAAAAATGTAATACGACAAACATTTCTTGTAAAAAAATAAACGGTTTTTGTCAAAAAAAACTAAAAAGTTCAAATAAAACTATAATACAACAAACATTTCTTGTAAAAAAATAAAAGGTTTTTGTCAAAAAAAACTAAAAGGTTCTTGTCAAAAAACCATTCTTTATTGTAGTCCATGTATGATTATATACTTCATCCATGGTAATTCCATGATTTTTATTTTGTGTGATGTAATTTAATGATTAAAATAAGTTTATACAGGAAAAGAACAACTCAATATTCGTATATTAATGAAAAAAATAAAAGTTAATAATGTAGTACCCCGATTTCTTATTGGATTCCTAAAAAACAACATTTATAATTAATTTTAATAATTTTTTTGGATTTTTTGTAAGGCTTAATCTGACCGATTCAACTGATTTCCAATCCGGATCGCCGATTCACCGATCCGGATGGGTTTTTGAGGTGCCCGATCCACGCCATCGATCTGTTTTTTAAACCACTGGTTTCATCATTTCATCTGTAGTACCAGTACAAGAAAATAAATAAAAGAAAAAATAGGCAGCCCAAATAATTCACAAAATAATCAAACAACAAATAAGTAAATAAACCTTCAACGTCGTCATAGCACAATCATGAAAGGAGAAAACAAGAAGAAATATGATAGGAAATCATTCTCGCACAGGCTATGATGATGATCATTCAAAGAGTGAATTCAAGAACTCAAGGACTAGACTTTAAGAAACTAGACAAATCTAAAAATAACGTAATTAATCAACACAACAAAAGTTCAGCTTGAACATAATAAAAGAGCGGGAAAAAAAAATGAAATAAGGGAATTTACTACGTAGGAGATGCAGGGATGAAAGCAACTACTACAATGATAATCTAACAACAAATCCAATCAACTACATAATGCACAGAGAAAACAACAATCAAAGATTTCTCTTCAATGGACATTAGGAAAATGCATCAGCAATAATAAGTGAGAAATAGAGAGAAAAAAAAAGAAAGAAAATAATAGCACCATCACAGGTTTCAAAGGAGAGAAGTAAACCCTTTTGTACAACATTTGATTGCAGTGTGAATTAAAAAAAAAACAAATACATGTAAATAAATTCAAAATTTTTGTAGCTGAAATGTACAAAACACAATCAAGTATACTATAACCAATATAGACAAAAAAGATCATGTACAAATGGAATAAATAAACAAGGAGTAACCACAAAAAGACAGCAAAACATACTATATAACATTAGCCTGTGCCAAAAGACAATATATTAGCATTTGAGACATAAAAGCCACAATCGGTCATAAAAACCTACATTTACTATATACATATGCAACAACATATAAGGAACAAATAGCTACAGTGGATGGGCATGTGTCATAGAAGATACATACTGGCCTAAAATAATATATAAAAAGAAAATCCAAAACCACACAAGAATATAAAAACCAAATTTAACAGCAACCTAAAATAAAATCAAGAAGGTAAATCAGAAAATCAACTAATCGAGAAATAAATCATTCAACCCAAGATGAAAAGCCAACCAATGTGATAAAGCTCTAGAAAAAAGAGATGAAAGATGAATAAGACTAACATAAAATTACTAACAAACAAGACATACAGCTAGAATACAGCTAATAAAAAAGGAGATAATAACCAAAAGCAAGATAGCCCAAACATGTCACGAGAATAACATAGTGAAGCTATCAAAGTTTATCCAAGACATGAAAAAATACTAAAAGCAGAAAAGACATATGTACAGGGATAACTACACAAGGAACCTAAAAACAAAGAGAGCCCCAATTGCATTCCAGTTCAGGCAAATAGATGCTCAATGTATGCACTAGCATAACTAAAATGGAACAGAAAAGATAGGTCATACAAAGAAAACAGATCCCCAGAAAAGAGAAAACCTAAAATCTACAATTTCTCATTAAATCTTACAGTTTCCAAAGAGCTGAAGTTGAGTCATCGCATTGGAATCATACTGAAATTGATTCTCCTCAGATGGCCCAAGGAGAACAGGGAATACAAGGTTACTGTTGTCACCACCAAACATAGTTGATATCTGCAATTAAAGGAGCAGTGTAAGAGATCACGAAGACACCATTAAACGAACTCATTGATACTAAAAACAAATTCTTAAGAACCATGGGATATGGTGCATTTGATAGGGCTTCACGTTAAATAACTGACGTTAAGTACAATGAAATAAACATATAACTGAGAAAAGGAGAAATTAAAGGAACACCAAAAAGAGAGCATAACTACCAAGTACTACCAATAGAAAAAAATAATCAAGCATGACACAATGTAAGGCATACAAGAAATCAATATTTATGTTGTGTTCCTGGCTGAGATTATAAAAAATTGGCCTTATTCAACAAAATCAGAAAGTGACAACTAAGTTGGCGTTCTGTTGTGTTTCTGGCTGAGATTATAATAAATTGGCCTTATTCAACCAAATCAGAAGGTGAAAACTAAGTTGGCTTTATGTCCAAACTCAAAACTGAAAAGTACAACAAAAAGGAGTCTGCAAAGCAAATTCCCCACAAAAACTCAAAGCTCTAAAATTTTACAATCAAGAAACTATCAATGTAATAAAAAATGGTCCAAAGTACACAAGGAAACAAAGATGAGTTCAAAATCCATAAATACAAGCCTCCAAAATGTGTACTATTCTCAGTGCCTTAGATCAAAGCAATAAGGATATAAAATTTCCAGGAATAACAAAACATAGAATATCTGATAGTGCAGGGTTTTAGCTGAAACTAAGAAATGATCAGGTATCGGAATGAAAAAAAACCCAAGAATGGCCCGTAAAATTAACCTTACTAGTTCCAACACATGAATCCATGGAACATAAAAGATTTGAATACATATACCGCTAGATGACATAAAATCTGCTCAGTATAAACTCTCCTTGTTTATTCAACCAAGAAATTAGGAAACAAAATCGGGAGATCAACAATAAATAAGGAGATCTAAATAAATACAAGAAAAAATTCAGAAAATCAAAGAACTGCAACTGCGACTAAAAGAGGAGCTACCAAGAAAAAATATGCAATTAATTCAATAAATATCAAAAGAACAAGGCTTATCCTGATATAAGCAGGGCCAAAAATTCAAAATGAAAAAAAAAATTGATTTCAATCAATTAAGATAATGCCACAAAATACTTCAAATAAAATAACAAAATGATCAATTTGGAAATCGAGAAACTAGCATCAACAAATGGAGCTTTGAAACCATTAAAATAATTTCATAAAAAAAATAAATCCATCAAAAAAATCTAAATTACAAACTCCACTCACAAAAAACATCTTAAAAATGAAGAATAAAAAAAATGTCTAATAACCATATAACATATAGACAATCACTGCAACATTTGAATGCATTTCCACGATCAACCGTATATCCTACCAATAAATATGTATCCAGAAAAAAAAAATACCAATACCAAGGATAAATAACACGATCTGATACAATAAATCAACAAAAATTCCAATTTTGTTTCTTCATTTTCATCAAAAATTAACAAGATGAAGAATGAAATCAAAATAAACAGATCTAATCTGAAAAAAACCAAAAAAAAAAAACAACCAAAAAAAGAACGGTCAAATCATCGGGGAAATAAATAATAAATACTGAAAACATCGACCAAAAATTACCTTGAAATGCTTAGCGCTGATGGAGGACTAGAACAAAGCGATGAGATCAAAACAAGATAGAGTAGGGCTAAAATAATACAGAAAAGGGAAATAAGAGTATTTTAAAATTAGTTATATGGCCTGTATTTCTTCGTTGTGGCTCACGGCCTTCCCTTCTCTCTTTATCTCTCCCATTTCTCCGTTTTTATTAGTATGCCGCTGCAGGTATATCGTTACGACTTACGAGAGAGAATACAAAAATGACATTCGGTTTTGGTGAAATAACGATACTAGGCCTCTACAATGACATTCGGTATGCCCTAAATTACCAAATTATCCTAACACCTCACTGAATGACAAAAATGGCCGCGACGTTTGCTGAAGTCGTGGGACCCACATGGGACGGCACCCTTGTAACCGGACTCATCCCTCGTGGAAATCTAAACCGTCCGTTTGAAAATAGGTGCAGCGATGGACTGGATGGCCGGCTCGGCCAATCTTTAGAAAACTAGGGCGTGAGCTATAAAATATGGCCCGATGGCCAGGCCAAGCCGCACGGCCTGAGGGTCAGACTTGGACCTAGGTCACTCTAGTTTGGCTGGACGGGCCTTTTTTTTTTAGCCTTCTCTTTAGATTTATTATGTTTACAAAATTGGCCCAGCCTGCCCAGCTCTCATAGGACCTATGCGAGGGCCTTGTTGGCCCAAGCCCAGCTTGGGCTGGCCTTAATGCCTTATTGCCGCTAGGCCCGGCTGTCCTGGCCCGTTGCTACCTTTATTCAAAGAGTAAAAAAAATTGGAGCTGGTAAATGTCATGATAATAAATAAAAATTTGAAAACGTTTATTTTATGTTGATAGGTTAAAATGTAAAGTTGAAGTGCATCTTTAAAATCCTTGAAAAAAAGGTTGTTTTGATATTAGAAAAATATCTAATTGGTCATCTTAACATCAAGATGTATAGATACGGCGGAACAAAGATATTTCAAGTCTTAAAAATAGTACATCTTGCAACACATTATCTGGATTGTCCATTTTTTAGATTTTCATGTATTTATAGATCTGTCTGATTTGAACTATTTTTAAAGTTTAGAATTTTATAATTAGAGTGCAGTTTGTATAAAGCCAAGGCTCTAAGCGATCAAAGTGAAACCCACCTTCAAATAGTATCAAGAAATATGGTTTCAATATTGAAAACTTGAAAATCATGAAAATTGACGGTCAGTGTTACATGATTGATGCATTATTTTCAAAACTTCAAATCTATTTTTTTTTTTTCTCATGTTCATGTATCTTGATGTTGGGATGATCAATTTAAAGATATTTGGGCATCAAAACAACCTCTTTTAGTAACATTTTTTAGGTGAGCTCTAATCAAATTGTTTATAACCGGTGTAAACTATTTCTTTATAATTAAAAATAAAAAGAAATTTTTATATCTTTTAAAAAAATTTTACACCAAAATTACATGATAAAGTTTGGAGGTATCCCTTAAAGATTGCAAGATTGCGACCTTGTCCAAACCACACCCATAAAAATTTGTTTAAACTTCAGAGGTTAGAGTTTTTATTTGGGTATTTTCGTCCTTGTTAGAATGAGAGAAGCAGGGGAGTTTTTGTTGGGTAGAGACTTTTTCGTCATAGTTTTTAGAAATGAAGGGTATAATGGTCAGATTAAGTGAGTGCTTTTTTATGCAAGGCATGGTGGACCCGGGCCCAATAATTACGGCTCATTGTGAATTAAAAAGAGATAAAGAGGGAGAAGGGATGGCAGAGTCGGGGGAATTCGTGCATAGAAGACAGGGGTGGGTCCCAGCCTGCGTTTATTTTGGCGTGTGAACCATCACCTACACGGAAGACCAATATTGACTAAATTGCCCATGTCAAGAAAGAATTTTGTTTATTTTTTAAGGAAATTTATATATAAATTTTTGTTTTATCAAGTGGTTTAAAACATGGATCGGTGATCCGGATCGAACATTCCAAAAATCGATCCTGATCAATAAATCCACTATCCGGATCAGAAATCACGCCGAATCACTGGGATTAATCCTTAAAAAAATTCAAAAAAATTATTAAAATTCATTATAAATATTGTTTTTTATAAATCCAATAAGAAATGGGTACTACATTATTAACTTTCATTGTTTTCATCAATTTATGAACATTGAGATGTTATTTCACTCTATGAACTTATGTTGACTATTAAATTTACATCACACAAAAGAAATCATAGAATTATCATGAATTAATTATATAATCATATATGGACTACAATAAAGAGTTGACTAAATCGATAAAAATTTGGCCACTAAAATCTCGAACTGACGGAAAACCCTAATCCGCTAAAAAAACCTAAATTATTACAACCTAACTAACTATAATATTATATACCAACAATATTTTATAATTATTTTATGATATAAATAATAATAAATTCAAAATATTTTATAATATCATTTAATTTAAAATGTATTATTGAAAACTGTAATAAAAATAGTACACTACATGATTTATAATACAAAAATTAATAAATAAAATAAAATATTTGGTTATCAATGTAGAAATTATTAGAATGCGTATCAATTTTTTTTAATTTTTTAGGTTTCTAGAATAAATTAGTAGAAAAGATTATTAGCAAAAAGAGAGATTTCAAATAGCCTCATTGTATGAATCCTATCTTTAAATTAATATTACTAAATTTATGTTAAAGACCATCATGTTATAAAAATAAAAAATATAATTAGACCATTTATTCCTAGGTTGTAGTAAGAAATACCTTTCATTTTTTTGATAAGAAATACTTATTATGCTATCTTTTATTTTTTTTTACAAGAAAAATATGATACTTGTTGATTATCTTCTTTTTTTTTTGACAAAAGAAGAAGACGTTGTACTACATTTTTTTTTGCTTGTTGTATTACTTTTTTTTTTTTTTACAAGAAAAATAAAAAAATGATGCTGTCAAAATACATTTTATTTTTTATGCCTTTTGTTTTCTTTTTTTTCAAGAAATACTTGTTATATTACCTTGTATTTTTTTTACAAGAAAAATAAAAAAATGTTGTATTATATTTTTTATCTTTATCTTGAAAAACCTTTTATTTTTTATTTTTTCTATATTTTTACAACAGTATTTTCTGCCTTTTGTTTATTTTTGCTGTCAAATTTTTTTTTTTATGCCTTTTATTTTATTTTTTTTGCAAGAAATACTTTTTATATTACCTTGTATTTTTTTTACAAGAAAAATAAAAAAATGTTGTATTATATTTTTTATCTTTATCTTGAAAAGCTTTTTATTTTTTATTTTTTAAGCTTTTTTTACAACGAGAAAAGTTTTTTATTTTTTCTATTTTATTTCAAGCTTTTTATTCATTATCTTGAAAAGCTTTTTATTTTTTATCTTTATCTCTATTTTTTATCTTTATCTTAAAAAAATGTTGTATT